ATGGTGCAGTGACTGTGGGTTTGCAGGTGAACATTGCAGTCAATTTGTTTACTGTAATGCGCCACAAACAGACAGCTTTCGCGAGTTGAATAAGGAGCATGGTGCGCGCACACACAGAATCACAGAATGATCACCCACACATAATGATGATATTATTTCCTTTGTCCCCACTGGGAGCACCTTCCCTGAATGAATCATTTCATGTGAGCGCTACTTAATCTATCACCAGCCCCTGAAACAGACAGACAGTATTGTACTCCCTGATGTCAGGTACAAAGTAAACCAATAAATAAGACAGCTTTCCTGCACAAAACAGTTACAAATGTGCCGTCAAGATTTAACAATATCGACTTAAATTACACTGAAGTGAAAATCGCAATAATCCAGAACACATCAAAGGCCCACGTTTCTGAAAGTTCAAAAGAGACACCGTTGCCATGGTGAAGTGTCTCCAAGACAGTCTTTGTTCTAAAAATTTCAAATATCTTGACCTGTAGCATTTCCTATCAGTGAGCGGAGTGTCAGGAATAGGGGTTGTTCTCACCCCTCAAGAGCTTCAGGAGAGGAAACAAGTGCACAGCCTCACGCAACACCCAGAGGCTGATCTCCCTGTGTCTGACTTGGACATTGCAATACAACCAAACGTGTGCAAACTGGGAATTCCTAAACTTTTATGTTTTATTTCACGCCGGTGTCAACACGATATTCCTTTCCTATATTTCCTTACCACTAATTTACAAGAGATAACAATAATTGTTGCTTTTGATATAACACCTTATCACGTCAACGGGATGTCTCAAAGCGCTTCACAGGATTTACAGTTACTGTGCGTGAAGGTTGTGACTGTATTTGGAAGGTGAACACTGGAGCCATTCTGTGCACAGCAATATCTCACAGACAGTGATGAAGTGAATCACCAATTTTTATTGGGTGGGAGGTGGGGGGTCTGTTGGCCATGACAATGGGATAAACTCCCTTCTCCTTTCAAATGGTGCCATGCGATCCTTAATGCCCACCTGAATAGGCAGACAGGACCTTGGTTTAAAGGATGGCACTGCCAACACACAGCCCATCCCCAGCACTGCAATTGGGGGGTCAGCATAGACCAAGTGAGTTCAAAGTCCTGACAATGGGCTTCAACCCGTTACCTTCTGACTCAGAGGCAAGAATGCTGCAAACTGAGCCAAACTGACACCCTGATCCTTGGCTCGGGTAAAGGCTGCTGTTTCCTGGCCTGGTCTTATGAAGGTTAAGAGTGTCAGAGACAGCGAGAGATGCTCGTACACAGAATCCTATTTCTCTCTGTCACTGTCAGCGTCAGTCTCTGCTCCAAGCTAAGCCGGACTCTAATTCTCCTCTGTCTCATCTTAGCACGTTGATGGATTTTTCCTTCAAAAGCAGCAATCTTCCACTGAGAAAGTCTTGGATAAACGTGGAGTTAATCGGATAATGTTGGAATTGCTTAACGCTTGTACAACTGAACATCAGCTTTTAAACACGGGTCTGGTGTGTAAACAAATCTTTAAACTTTTATAGGACTGTCTGTCATTTACCATTGTACGTGGCGTCACTAATCCGAGTTCAGCACTTCACTGTCTCTCAAACCACAGACTCAGGTGATGGACGTCAAGGCAGATTCTGATAGGAAACCATTTCATTTCACAAACGAACATCCATAATCCCTTCTCTCTCCCAAACCAAACTCACGTCTGACATTTGCACTGCTGTCTGCAAAGCCAGATTATGTCTGGCGGTCGGTGCGAGAGGGAGAGGCGCCGCCTGAGACAGACGCTAATGAAGCAGGTGATGTTGCGATGGTTATGTAAATAGTGTTCGATTCCTCTGTGTGTTGTCGGGTCTGACTGCCGGGGGATGTGCTGCGGACTCCGCCAGCGACATCCCAACACCTCATCGCGCTCACACGACAGCAGTAAACCACCGCCCTTTCCCTCCGTCAGAGTCGCAACGAAACATATACGGTAATA